GCTGCATTTTTTATTATTGCCTTGAGTCATTGGTGCATGAAACCATTTTCTACTGTACTATTGTTAGGATTGGATATTGCTGCCTTAACCCTTTGGCTGTTTCCCTGAGTACATATTCTGGCTTGTGTAGTGGTAGCATGGGTATGTTCTCAGGCTCAGAACATTCATTGTTTTTAGGTTATTTCACAGCTATTCATGTATGTAACTGCTATCTTTAATAATTTATCATGATATTACATTTTCTTACATAAACTATTGTTTTGAGACAAGCAGGGCCAATTTTTATATGAAAACATATCAACCATCTTATAACCTGTGTTATAAGGGTCAAAGGGTTAAACAATGAATGTGAATCTCATCACATTTAGCATATTTGATTGTTGTCCATAGTGGTATCATGATTCCTTCAGCAAGTCCGAGATTTTTTAAGCACCTGTGATTAAGAAATGTCTTCCTAAGACTTATGACTAAGAATTGCCCCAGTTATTCTATTGGCTGTGTCATTCTTGAATATGTAGGCTATACCAGCTTTTTCTTGAGTCAAATGTGGTGATGAAATGATTTGGTTGCAGGCAATACTCTAAGGACATTCATTTCATTCTGGAGAGAGTACTAACAGCTTGAGAGCAAGTACAATTAGTTGGAAACTAAGTAAAGAAATGCCAAGTCCCAATTGGAATAGGCAATTTGTAAACAAGCTGCAGTCTAAGGGCCACTGGGAAAATGGAATTTAAATTTCTTCCCTGAAAGGATCTCTTGTCCCTGAAGGCATGAACAAATGAGAATATTTGTTAAAAAATTAAAGAGTTATTCATATTTTTATTATTTGTTGCTAGTGCCACTCTTGTGATGCTTATTGTTTTGATGGAGATGCAGATCTGGGGAGACTGAATAGGACTAATGGGTACTACCACATTCACAAAATAAACTTACCTTTCTCCTGGTACCATACTCATTGGGTTATTTCCATTAATTTCAGGCTTTCATTTCATACAAGGTCAGTGATGTACCCAGGGTTTTGCCAAAGTGGGGACTAAGTGGAAAAGAGGAGGGCTAGTAATTTTCCCTCCGACAGAGGGAGGGGGGGGGAGGGGCAGATGCATTTAGACCAGAATTAGGGAGGCTTCAGCTCCCCTCTCTACACCACTGTACAGGGTATGAAAAAAAAATGACAACAACTTCTGAGGTATTCACCTCTACTCTCATTGAAGCTATTTCATTAAACTTTAGCTGTGCATAGCAGGGCATATTTTAATGCATTGTTGTAACAGATATGTGCAGTTCTGAATTGGAATTTGTGCAGTTCAAAGCTGGGCAAGAATTATGTTTTGAAACAAAGATTTGACTTAAAAATGGTGCTTAGTCTAATTTTTCTTCAAAAATTTTTGTTCCATGCTGGGGGGGGGGGGGCTGCTTAGCACCATACCAACCACTCCTACAGAGGGGCCATAATCTATTGTGCAGTTCTGATTTTTTCTTACAATTTGCCATGGTGTACAGTTTGATATGGTTTAAACAGACTTTTGAAATTGACAAAGCAAGGCAACAAGTAATTGCTCAAAAGAAATCAGAAATTAAAAATGGACAGGGCATTCCATTTCCTTCTCAGCACTTTAATTACAAGTCCTCCTACCTAGTTCTCTGAGGAAGGACAAAGGGAATATCAGAATATACATTGAGCAATATCTCTGTTTTGATGCTTATTGATTCATTTAACATTGAATGGGAAAAAATGGAATCAAAACCTTCTGCAAGAAATGGCCAACCAAGAATATGAATCTCAATGAAAGAAAAGTTGGATGTGACCTGAAGGATACACTAGAAGAGCCCTTGGCTGTGTCCTCCACCCCACTTCCAGGACTCATGTCCATTTCCATTATCCAACTTCTTAATAATTATATCTCCTTGTCATGCCTTGGAACAGTTAACATTCTGACTGTGGGAATTTGATTGCTTGGCAAACCTCTCCCTGCCAGCACTTTTAAGTAAATAGAGACATTTTTGTACCAGGTGGCTTGTTTTGCATAGGCATGTTAGGCCAGGCATAACCCAATCAAAACAACAAATATCACAAAACTCTAGCTATTCAAAGTAATTATCATTTTCCTGTCTTGTACTGAATGAAGTTTAGGTCATTCCAGCTCTAAGCTTTCTTATTGGAGACAAGAGAATTGAATAGGAGAGAACACAGCTGAAAATTTTAGGGATGTGGAAGACGAAGGCTGGCAGGTAGGGGCTTATTCCATGTGCAGTTGCCTAGTTTTGGCTGGTATCTCTCAGGCCTGAAATACTAATATCCACTGATACAAGGATGGAAAGCTGGAATAAACAAGCAGAGACAGAATATGAAGTGAGTGAACTGCAACCTAGGCCAAGATGGACTTAAGTGTTACCTAGCAAAATCTGTGTAACCTAGCCAGGTGCCTGACTCATCACATTTATCCAAAAAAGGTGACCCAACCCTTACATTCAGGTCATTCTGTCAAAATCAACATGGTGTTAAAAGGTGACTTTACCAATTTGAATGAAATTTGGCACTTATTTGTACCTATTAGAAAGTGATTCACAGCAATTATTGAGTTCATTTGACTTCTTGTTCCTCAGATATGAGGTCATGAAAATTTGGGATTGTTTAAAAGCTCTTTTCATGTCCTTTCCAGAGATTGACTAGTTTTGGCAAAATGCTAAATGCTAACTTCCAGTGAAGAGGTCATGGTGATAACCTTTGACCTCACAGTACAAAAAGCAACCATTTTAGATTTTGAAAAAATTGGCTGGTTTGTAGGCAAGACCTCTGTGTTAAATTTTACTTTGGGCTCTCCAGAAGTTCCAGAATAACAAGTAAAAGTAGTGATTGCTACATTAACATTCTTGTATTCAGTTATGCCTTCCAGTTGAATGCACTACAGAGAACTGGAACAGAATAAAATGAAATCAATACACCAATCACAGAACTAAATCAAAATATCTTCTTTATGGTGTATTCCCTCTACTTCTTGTTCTTGTGAAGACATGTCAATGCATCCACCATCTCTTCATATGACAGTTTATATGTACGTCCTGTTTCTGTCAAGGGATTCACAAGTGAAAGGACTTGACTATGATGTACTCTAAGTTCATCAGATTTGTGAGGATAGGAAAATGAAGGGGCTGGACCATGTGGATGAAGGAAATGAACAAGAATTTCCTCATTGTCTTCAAATTTCACAAGAACATATGCGAGATACCAATTCACATGTCACAAACCCTCTGATGCTTAAATATGACAACTCCATTGTAGTGTTGAACTTGACATCTGTAAATGTGCTTGACTTTGAAAATTGTTTCACTCTGATGATAGAAGTAGATAGAGGAATGTAACAGTGAAGGCTCTGTGTTCCAGGAATTGGCTGTATGCCTGCAAACTGTCTTTGGAGCTTCTTTGGTGTTCTTTTTTTATCTGTCTCAGGGACAAACTGAAACCTTATAGTTCTTAGATTCTCTTTGGCCCACAAAAAGAGATCTTGGGAGATCTGAATTTGTAGATCATATGGTCTTTGGAGGCTCACTCTTGCAGCTAATCTTTTGACTGTGCCACCCAACCATCTCATGGCCCTTTATCATGTGGCAAAAAATCTACTGGAATTCCAAAATCAGCCACATGAAAGCAGAGGTTGCAGAAATTCTTTTAATTTGTATACTGGCTAGCTGCATTGTGTGAGAAATAGGTAATTGTGAAATGAGGTGCTTCTGGAAGGTATAAACTGCAACTGTGTCATGTATAAGAGTGTTGGATATGATGACAAAGCTCAAGTGTTGCAGTTCATTTCCATCATTCGCATCTTTGTAAGGCTTCTTAAAATAGCAAGCAAAAGGATGAATTGAAGCCTGATTATTATTCCACCAGCATCCTTGTGCAGCATCTTGAAGGACAAAGGAGTAGTTCTCTGCAAAATCTAGAATAACAATGACTTCACCCTCAGCAAGGTTTTCCTTTGTCTCCTGAAGAAATGATGATTGCTGCTTGGCAATGAAATCATGTTTTCTCATAATGATGATCTTTTCAAAGAAGTAATCCAGAAACTCCTCAGTGCTTTTCACCATTGTGTCCAGAGTAGATCTATCTGTCGACACCCATTGAAGGTGATGGAGTCCATCATTCTGTCATCAAAGTATTTTTGAAGCTGAGCTCTGATTCCTGCTTGTACCAGGACAAGTGGTACACTGATTCAGATAACATTTGTCACAGGCAGGATTACATGTTGTTAAGGAGAGGATATCATGGTATGTCTTCATTTGGAAAGTATTGCTTGCTTTGAGAGAAGAGAAGTTTACAGCTTGTACCATTAGTTTCACATTCTGATGAATCATGCAAACATATACAGCATGAGGACCACTGGCTCCAGCCAGCACATAATTCTTTGGCCTCAGCTCAGCAAATTTGGAAAAACCTATCTTGAGTTGTGGATTCTTCTCTTTGAATGTCTCATATTAATAGATCTCTTTCAAATTTCCAAGGATGAATCTCTTCTGCTTCTGCTGCCTCCCATCTCTTTCCTTCACAGAGACAAAGTCCTTTGCTCCAGGCATCATCCTGCTGATTTCATCATGGCAGTAGAAGTCCTGGACAATATTAGCATCATGCATTGGTAGATTCTTCCCTGGTTTTGGATTGGGAGTTGCAAGAATCCCCTTCTCCCTGACCAATTTCTTCACACTCCTCGCCATGATATTTGATATTCCATATTCTTGCTCCAGCGTCCTCACACTCCAGCTTTTTGGAGTCATAGTCAAGATTTTTTCACTTCTCTTCTCTGTTTCCCGTGATTTTTCTTTCAATTGATTCATAATTTCAAGAAACTCTGCAGTTTGGCTACAGGAAGGCTCATCAGAGCTGGTGTCACTTCCACACCCAATGGGTTCATTGTGACTAGCTGACAGATATTGGAAATGTTTCTTCACTGTTTCTGCTATCTTCATTCTCTTTCCTTTAGGGTATTTCTCCTGGGCCATTTTCTCACCTTTCACTGGTGTTTCTCCCATCAGCTGCAGAGATTCATTGAAATGTTTGATTCGAGTTGATGGCCCTGGTTGAAAGATGTCATCTTCCATGGCCTCAGGTGTTGCCACTGATGATGTTGAGTATGAAGATGCTGAAGGCACTCCTGGGTTTCTCCAGGTGTTTCTCTGAGCTTTTCAGGAAGGATCTTACTGCAGCTAGTACACAATTTTTTTTCTGGAATGAGGAGAGTAACTGCTGAGTACTGATCACAGGTTTCTCTGTCAATCATTCTCAAGTTTCTCGTCCTTGACTGGCCAGTGTGAATGCCAAAAGGTCACAGCAGGATTTTTCTCGTATTTCAAAAGTTCTTAGAAACTGTTCTGCATGATGAGCACATGCAGCTTCTATTTTCTTCACCTGGCTTCTTTGAATAAGAATATCCTTTTCCACGAGGTGAAGCTGTCCACACTTTTCAGTGTTCTGTGGTCACAGAAATCCAGTAAATTCAGGTATTCATAATGTTTTTCATGTTTTTCATAACTGCATATTCTTCAGCACAATTATCCTTCCAAAATATACGAACAAGTAGCTACTGTCAAGTTTTCTACATAATGAACATCAACAAAAAAATCGAAGTAAATGCAGATAAATACTGTATATTTATGTTTTGTTGTGCTCAGCAGTGTCAGCAATCACTTTGCCCAACTTCATGTCACAGCTGAAGTCATGCTGCATATAAGCTATTGTTCACTTCCAAGCATGGAAGTAGAAGCTTTCTTTAATATGGATGTAATACTACTTGTGCATTAAATGCACATGCAGTATTTGTATGCATGAAATAGAACTAAGTTTAAAATGCTCATTTTTACTTTGGATTCAATGGAAATAACTATGTTAAATGCATTCCCATAGGTGCCTGTAATAATGTTGAATATTCACGTTAATCGATTTCATGCAAATGGCCTGATATCTCCAAAAATTACTAAGCGCCCAAGTTAAAATTTGATTCAGAGGTAGCCATATGTCTTGTCTACCATTTATCCAATTTTCATCAAAATTCAAGAGGGTTGTTTTTGACAATGTGAGGTCAAGGGTCATCAACACGACCTCCTTACTGAATGGTAACTTTTAGCATTTATCAAAATGTATCAATACTATTGGAAAGGAATGGAAAAGAGCTTAAAAAAATGAGTGTAAGATGAGCTCTCTAGCATAATTAGGACCAGAGTTTCAAGGAGAAGACTATATCAGGGAACACTATATATGGAATAAGGCATTTCATCCTCATATTTTGTGACCTAATACCAAAAGAACCAAGGGTCTAATGAACCCAATATTTTGTGTGAATTAGTTTCTCATTATTATTACCAAATTTCATCCAAATCTGTGGGCAGTCACCTGAAAAATGTCCTCAAAGTGTGTTGATTTGACACAGAATGACCCATTCACTTATAACAGCCGCACAGATATCTGATTAAAGGAGTACCATGTATGGTACTCTTTTAATCTTCTCTTCAATCCATCAAGAGGTATGAATTCCTCCATATTTTTCTTTACACCCCAGTCTCCTCCTTTCAAGCCTCCCAATCTTTTAGCCCTACCTGATCATGATTTACATGCTCAAGTCAGAGGGACCAGGATCTATCAACACTGACAATTGTCTTCCACAATCAATTGACAAAAGTCCACTGCCTCCTGGACACATGGCAAATTTGTACATTAATTCAGAATTAACTTAGAGGTAACAAAAATGTTTTTGCTAAAATTGGCATTCATATATTATAAAAGTGTGGGTGGGAGGGGGTGTGGTATGCATGTCAATTCCATTATATGTATTTCACTATTTAATCACCATGTGCCTAATCCACAGCAACACACAAACACTGCTTTCCACTTGAAGAAAGTATCTATAGTCTGCCTCCTCTCCATATTGCCACCAAAAAGTAAGGTCATGTCCTTCAGGGTTTACATCATGTATTCCTAAACAGGTTTGTTCAACTATACAAGGTGGTCCACAATTGTCTCCCCAAAAGTAAAAGCTCATTACTCAGGAAGTATACATCCGATTTCAATGATATATGACTCAAAATGCCAATTCAATATATTTTTTATTTTTGAAAATTTCAGCATTCCATAAAAAATTGAACAAAGTTACACCATAACAAATTAAAGTATCGTGCAGCTAAAGCCTGTAAATATCACAATCCCTTCTGGAATTCGCAATTCATTCATGGGTTTTTCATGCATTGCGAGGGTTTGTCTGTGTCATGGGTGACCTCAGTATCCTGCAGAAGGCGAATATTGCCATTTGATTTGATTATTTCATGAGAGCAAATTTGTGTGGGAAAAATGTGGAAATTTCTTCAGTTTGGGTCCAAATGCCTCACTTCCTGATCAGATCATAAAGGCAATTCATAAGAGATTTCTAAACCTGAAGATATGCATCGGCGGACCTATGGCAACCTAGATATGCTGAAACAGTCCATTAGAGATGCCTTCGCCATGGTAGGACCAGAGATGATTGAAAGAATTCTGCTGGCATTCAAAGAGAGACTGCACTAAGTCATTGAAAATTGTGGAAGTCATATTGAACACTAATGATATGGCAGCTTTTATTTGTAAAGATGTAACTTTGTTCTAGTTTCTTATGGAATGCTGAAATCTTCCACCAAAAAATGTATTGAATTGGCTATCGTTTGAGTCATGTATCTTTGAAATCGGCTGTATACTTCCTGAGTAATAAGCTTTTACTTTTGGGGAGACAATTGTGGACCACCCTGAACTCTATGACCAAGGTCAATCTGTAACATGAGAGGTGACTATACAGTATACATACTGTTCTGAAGTAAAAATTTATAAGAGAGATGGATATTAGAAAATCAAAGTTTATGATTGCTAAGTGATGGAAGCATGCCTCTAGGCTACAGAGGAACCAGCAAATGAATTTTAAATAGCTGCTTATGTTTTTCACAGAAAAAATCAACTAAGTAAAAAATGATGCAGGAAGCCATCAACAAAGTCATTAATGCACAGAAACCTGGGTCCGGGCCTTTCCAATTTCATGGGTGTGGCAACCAGAGCAATATTTTTTAAATAAAAAAATGAATTAAACAATATTACCAATGGCAAATTAACATATAAAGGCTGCAACATTTCATGAAACCTGGGTTTCTGAAACCTCAGATTTCATCTTATCATCACTGCAGAGTTAGAGAAAGAGTGTTCAGAGAAATTTTGGCTATTGGTTGCAAACATATCTATCATTTCATAGCAAAAGTTTCATGAAAACAGCTCCTGTGGGAGCAGAGAAATCAGACGAAAGGCATTGGTATTTTTTATGCTATAAATAACATACTTATATCCTTTTTTCACAATTAACATTTTTTCATGGCTCTTTTATCCTGTCCAAGAAATGCCAGTGCCGGAGTTTCAGGTGAAACTATCTTCATCTTCAATATCATGAATGTGGAAGAATCATTGGTGGAAACCTGTTTTGTTATTAAGAATGAAATTTTCAGTCATATTCAAACTGGGATGTGGCAGTATCAGAGAAATTTGAAAGTAATTCTCAATTGCTTTCTGTGCTATATATCAGTTGCGAGTGTTTGGAAGAGAAAATCATGATTAGTTGTTGGCATCACACGTGGCCAAAGATTAAATGTTAGCCCATGCAAGGGTTAGATTGAGTGCTTGTATTCCTTATTGAGCCATCTTTGAGCATTTCCCTTCCCATCATGGCTTTCTAGAGACTAGAGATTCCCTAAATATACATATGGTACATACTAAGAGTTTTATTACATAACTAAACTTTTATTACATATTACATAACTAAGCATGAAAGCTGTACAAGATAGGTTCAAAAAGTTTCGAGACTGCACGCAAATGGTGAGCGTTACGACACTGTTGCTGTGTCGCCTTCAAAGTAGTGGCCCTGGCTTTCCTTACCCTTTTGCCAACATCTGTAAAGTTCCTCGAAACAGAACTGGAACCCATTTTTAGCGACCCCGTTCAGAGCCGCCACCGTAGCTTCCTTCATCTCTACTGCGGACGAAACACGACGTCTCTTCAGGCTCTTCTTCATTCTTGGAAAAAAGTGAAAGTCGTATGGTGAAAGGTCTGGGGTGTAGGGGGTATGTGGTAGTAAGATGGTGCCAGTCAGTGTCTGTCAAGTAACGGCTCACCATCAGCGATCTGTGCGCTTGTGCACTGTCATGAAGGTGGATCCAATTCTTGTCTGCCCACATCAGGGGTCGTTTCCTCCGGATTGCTTCTCGGAGACGCCGCAGCACATCTCCATACATCTCTTTATTCACCGTTCTTCCCTCCAGAATGAACTCACGATGGACAAGGAGAACGCTTCCAACATCAACTTCCAGGGACTCACGGCCTTCTCGGAATCGTCAATGCCACTCAAACACACGAGGGCGTGAGATTGTCTTCTCCTCATATGCCTGTATCTGCATTCCAAAGGTCTCTCCAGCCATTTTACACAGTCTCTGGCAAAATTTCACATTAGCACGCTTTTCGAAACGTGACATCTTCGCAAGGTGAATGCAGACTGCCGACTGACAGCCGAAGAGTTGCACGTGGGGCAACCTAGTCATTGCCACGTGAGATTAAGACCATGTGCTCTTGATATGCACGTAGTATGGAGCCCTAACTACGGTCAGCAAAATGTATTTTGATATGGAACACCGTTTGGTCACGGTGACCAGTCTCGAAACTTTTTGAACCTAGTAGCATTATTGTGCATGATATATTAAAAGAACCCATTTCTTCACATCTCTAGTGCTTACATCCACTATGTAAGCACTATATGACATCTATAGGTACTATGGTCAATTATGGTCAATAAGGCCAACTTTAATTTCCTTTTTTTTTCCTGCATGGTCTGTGCTACATTTGTATGTCATGACTAACAAGTGATAGATTAGGCATTGGAAGTTGAGTGGTCAACGAACCTGATGAGAGGTTAGGCCTTATGACTGTATACCTGCATGATCATGAATGACCATGTTGGCCAGTCGACATCTCATCGCTAAGACCTTTACATATAGATTGAGTGAGATGGAATAATAAACAGTAATTTCATTCACATTTCAGAGGTAAATTCTGTGATGAGGTAGCCCCATGAGCTCATCATAATGAAGAATGCAACACAGTTTCCAAAACTGAAGTTTCATGG